GGCTTTCTTTCTTTTATGTCAGTTATTAAAGTGGCAAGTTAGCTTTAAGGATGGTTAACCTGATTCTAAGTAATACCTGCCGCCCATGGGCATCAGCAACTGGACATCAGCAACAAAGTTGCTCCGGTAATCTTACTTACCTTTCGAAAGGCAAAAGTATAAAACATCAACTTCACACCGATCTTCTGTTAGATCGTAGTGCTTGAATATAGAAAAGACTGCTGTATTGCTCTGCCATAGTGAAGAGTACAATCGTTGCAGTCGAACAAGCGTTGATTGCTCGAAACCTAGCAGGTGTATTTTTTCTTCGTTTCGCTTTCGTTCCAAAAATCAGTACCTGTTACTAGCACCCAACGAATGGGAAAAGGCTTACTAATATAGGAATAGATGAGCGCAAGTATCCACTAATGAGAAAGTAAAACAGCATTACTATGTCGTCTATTTCTGTATGTTTTTCTTTTTGTCACATTAATGTTAAAATAGGTGAGACTATGTTCCTGTAGTTGCTGCTCGCCAAAGTCTTTTTTTTTTTTGGTACAATTCCAATAAAACCGAAATAAGGGCACACACTCGATCTTCGACACTGCCAGGATCATGTAGGAATAGCAACACTGATTTATGACGGAGGTCGCAGAGCTTTATCGCGACATGAAAATTCCTTTTTTCGTTGGTAAGGGATCACAGCGACTATAAAAAGCGTAGAAACAAATAAAGCTAAAATAAATGCAGAAAAGTTCAATAGGACTCTTTATGACGGTTACTATGATTCATTACATACAATTTCTCATCCAGTCTTGATCAACGAAGTCTTATTTATTGCATGTCTCATATAAGCAATAGTTAATAAGTATTCTATAACAATAATAAGTATGCTAAACTATTCAGAAACATAATATTTAAGAAATTAAACAATACATATATGACTTGACTAAAAAAAATGAAAAATGAGAAATAATTATCATGATCTATTTAATATACATATAGAGTGCAGGACTCTTACAAAATTTAGTGAATGTTAAGAATAATATTGCGTTATTTTATTAATTTATTTATTTTTGAGGAAAACAAACAGTTATATGTTAAACTAAGACTGGGCCCACTGAAAATCACTTCGTCACTACATCCTTATTTATAAATTCCTTTTATTTTTATTCTTTGTTTTACTTTAACTTATTGTTTTCTCCTCTTGTAATTACTCTTAGGTTATTTCATTTATTTGCTTATTTTATTTATTTATAATTTTTTTAGTTTGTTATTTTTTAATTATAAACAATGTAACCACAACCTAAAACAACCTTAACTTAAATTAAATATATCTAAACGACAAGTTATTACATGATTTAATCAAGCAATGTTGTGGACAAATAAAATGAAAATTACTCGCATTACCCGTATTTATGAGTCACGACGACGAAACCATTATAATGCATCCATCATTAGATTCGTAATATACTGGTTAAATTACATTAACATACTATGTATATTAATTGTAACAAAATATTTCACATGTACTTTAAGGAGTGAACTTGGGTCTTGATTAATTACGTTTCCCTGACCTCCTTAAAAGTCACTTGTCACAACCCGAGCCAAAAAGTTTTTGCCATAACTACAGAAATGCTTCTCTTCGCCCACAGTGCTCTTACCATCGTAGTTACGGGAAGTTCAAATGTAACATTTATTACGCTACCTTGTTAGCTACTTCATTTTTATAAAACTTTAAAATATATTACATGTATAATGGTGAAGAATTCTTGTACACACATTGGACAGATAAAGAAATCTTTAAAGCTAGGATTCATCTAAAGGGCATCAGCCATACGTCTCTGGCACAAGGTTTACAATTATAGTAAAAAAACATTGATCTATTATTATTATTGATTTAATGTTGTAAATTTTTACCACGCGTTACTTGTACGATTAATTTTGAAGTACTAAACAACAACTTCTATATATATATATCATATATATATATATATATATATATATATATATATATATATATATATATATATATATGATATCGACTGCGATAGATTACGCACGCCTGTTACCGTCACGCCCGTAATCGGTACGAGCTTCAGGTACAAAAGTAATTTAAACCACAAATATACAGGACGTTTATTCTTGTATTATATGTAGGTAATCAGCAATCACAAATTACAAAGTGGTTTGTTATTTTTTTTGATAGATAATAATGTAGTAAATTTTAACACAAAACTTAACGTAAAAAAATTTAGCTTTTCTTTTTTATCTGTCGGTCACTCAGGAACCCAACGGACATACTTGGATCAAGGACCAATTTATACAAATTTGTTTTAAATTGGTAAAAATACTATTCTTTTAATTAATTTTGTGGTAAGAGCAATCCTAGATTTATTTTATAGGTCTAATAAAGTAGTTGCTGTGCTCATATCTAGGGCAACAAGCCACCGAGGCGCACGCTTCAAAGTCATATCTAGGTTGGCGAAAACTGGTTTTGTTACAAATGCTAAATCTAATTAGGCTAAGAGAAGTTCTAAAGCTTTCTTAGCTCTCGCCGTACAATGTAGTCGCCGAGATTCGCCTTCGTATGGAACCAGCGAGAAGAACTGAAAATGTCATTTAACAAATCTCGAAGTACATTCAAATTTGGTATTTTAATAACAATTATTAGTATAACCAGCTGAAAGCCCATGCACGGTTCTGTATCAATAAGTGATCATTCCAATATTTTGCCCTGACATTCATATCCAATAACAATAAACTAAACCTATTACGTACAACAGTGTTAAGTATAATAAGTAATAATTTTGAACAAAAAAAAAAGAAATTTAAAATGTTTATAGAGATAAGAAAACGATAAGAAAATTCAAATGATAAGAAAACAATGTAGAAGAATACGTTAAGATTTTCGTCGGTGTGGCAATCAGCCGTTTAGCTCAGTGGCTAGAGCGTCAGGCCGCGAATGCCGAAGACGTGGGTTCGATTCCCACAGTGGCGACAATCTTTTCGCACTTTTTCTACATATTTTAATGTTCAATCTTAAGTGCAAAGATTAGCACTATAAACAATTTAAATTTCTAAAAAAGCAATGGTGACATCTCTCGTTCGAATTATCGTTGTAAAACGATATTCGAAATTGTTTGTATGCTAGAAAGGATATAACAATAGATGGCGCCAAGTATTACTTCAAATGATAAGAAAACAATGTAGAAGAATACGTTAAGATTTTCGTCGGTACGGCAATCAGCCGTTTAGCTCAGTGGCTAGAGCGTCAGGCCGCGAATGCCGAAGACGTGGGTTCGATTCCCACAGCGGCGACAATCTTTTCGCACTTTTTCTACATATTTAAAAAAAAAAGACTTCAAATAGGAAAGTAATAAAACATTGTCAACGCCTATAACATTTGAGGATTCCCCTCAATTTCTCTGGGATTCCATTATCAGATATGGGTTTCCTTATCATGGTACCACCCTTGGGATATCTACTTTCCGACAAAAAAAAATCATCAAAATCGCTTCATAAATGACGAAGTCATCCCCGAACACACATAAAAAAAATAAAAATATGTACGGTTGAATTGAGAAATCTCCTCCTTTTTTGAAGTCGGTTAAAAGTAAAGAAACAGTACAGCTGCTGTAAATTTGACAATTTCATTATCGCCGGCGCCCGGATTTGAACTAAAGTTGCTCTGAACTAAGCTCTGCTTTGAACTAAAGATATATGTACTAAAATATCTGAGATTGAGTTCACAGCAACATATATTCGGTATTAAGTTCTTCTCTTGATCAAATATTTACGAATTAAATATTATCTTATATTTTAGTGACTTAAAACGAAAATAATGTAGATGTATGTTACTTTTTGTTATAAGCTTAAATATTCATGAATAATAATAATAACTATTTATTTTTAAGGTTTGAAAGCTATTAATAAACTTAATTTTGACAAAAACTATAATTAAAATACTTAAACAAGGTGAATTATTCCAAAACCCGTCTGCGTGATAAATTGTCATATTATTTTTTTATAATTTTGTGTCACTGTCATAATTAATGTTATGACACCTTTCAAGCTAAAGTACATCAATCGCTTTATGATATAGACCGTGCCAAATCCTCCTTCTGGCGCAGTCAGTGCATACACAATAATAGGTACAAAAAACTATAAACGTTGTCTAATGCGATTCTCCAATAACAATTTTATTACATATAAGATAAAAACATTTACTTTAAGACTTTAAAAAGCTTGTATGTCTAAAGCTAAAGTAAACGCAAAATTTTAAATATACGCAATGCAGTAATCTTTATCCTTTAAACGAGCAATTCTTGTATATATAATCGGAATCTCGGAAACGACTCCAGCGATTTTCATGAATTTTAGTAATGTCCTTTTATCCCTGTTTTCAGGGAATGAAAAATATCATTCGAATATGACAGTAAATTTCGCCGCAAAAAAATATGTTAATAGCTCGGTCGGTAATCGGGCGGCCCTAAAACAGACGGCCGCGGTTCGTATCACGATCATTTACATTTTTTTTACTTTTTTTTATATACCAGATCATTTTCTTTATTTTTTATTTTTATTTATTTCCAAAATACATAATTTACCAAAAAAAAACCTCTCCAGGTACTTTGATTTTATGTTAGTGCAAAATCGCAGCGTAAACACATATTTTAGTAAAAGTATCAAATAACTTACCACAAAACTCTACGGATCGCTAGAAAATTGCCGATAACTTTTAATACAATCAAATTTATTAGACAGAAATATGGCCACGTGGCAGGGACAGTTAATAAGCACGCACACATCGACAGTCCCACTCATACACTGATGGCACGGCAGTTCGGGCACAACGTAACAGCGATAGATTTTATATTTACACGTATTTCAATTCTATCGCCCTTTGCCTTAAGATCTCGAGCTAAACCTCGACTAGACTAGACTGGCGAAAGTCTAGTCTAGTCTAATAATACCTAACTTACATGCGAGTAATGAAAATGTTGTCAACTTCTGACCAGGTGTTCGTAAGCTTAGTGCGGTCGTCGCGTCAGGGGCTCGCTCCGGCGTGTGGCGAGTGGAAGCGAGATGCGGCGGGGCCTCCGCCAGGGTCGAGATGACAGTCGGCACTGGACCCAGCAGCGGCAGTGCCGCGGCGCCTGCAGCGGAACAACACTACGTGGAGCTCAGATTCGCGGACAACATGCGCCGGCGGTACAAGCCGGGGCTGCCTTTCGTCGGACGGGTGATTATTGTATATTTTTTACTAGCGACCCGCCTCGGATTTGGACAGGTGCAATGTATTATACATACATACCTTCCTCGTGAATCACTCTATCTAGTAAAAAAAACCACATCAAGATCTGTTGCGAAGTTTTAAAGATCTAAGCATACATAGGGATAGACAGACAGCGGTTAGTATATATAGATTTTTTCATCGTAAGTGCATTTCAATGTCAAACATGAAACATTTTAAAATCAAAATTTTCATTTCAAAATGCGCAAAAGCTGATATGTGAATTATTATTGCGACTTTTGTAGTAGATATTCCAATTGGAAAATGTCCGTCATTTACGTATGCAATGTTTACATTTTCTGAACTGTGATACATAGACAAACTTACATTCATTTAACCATGCATAGCCGGTGAGGGGAAGCATCTCGCTTAATTAGCCTTAAAGAAATCATAATACACCTATGTTTTAAATTAGGCGTCATTCAAAACTAACAGAAATTCCGAGTAGTAAGAATGTTACTTTTGGAAATCAGAATAAATAATCCTTTCAGCCTAATTTTAAACGCAAATCATTTATGCAATTTCAAAATTGCGGGATTTTGTGAATAATTTACGTTAACTGTTTCCGAAAACATATGTGATTAAAAATTTTTTTGCGAAAAGGTATAAGGATCGTAGCAGGCTCTCTTATGGATGATTCCGTAAAATTTTTTCTAGAACATCATTAGAAACAAATCTTTCTTTAAAAAATAATAAATACGTTCTATCAAAATGAAATTAGTTTACATTTTCAAATACTGTCTCTTTTATGATCAATCCACTACAATGAGTTTTGTTAGCAAGTATAAGTGCATTCAAATGTTTTTTGTTCAGCGCAAAGTTTCCCGAGTCATCGCATACCTTTTTGTTGAGATAAATAAATAAAAGTCATGCTTCCGCGAGTTCGTATTTATTCACTGCTGGGCTATTTCAAAAGTTAACGGGAAAAAACGTAAAAGAATGAGAAGTTTCAGTACGTGCCAACTGAGAAAAAAGGCATTTTTATATTTTATTGAAAAGGAATCTTCTTGAGGATTGTACCTGTAATCTTGTCTGAAAGAAAGTACTGACATGTTCATAATGACGAATTTATAAAAGAATGTTTAACGCATTTTTATTGAATCGACGAATATAACACGACACATTATTCGACGGCATTTATCAATTGACATCACGTGAACGCCCGGGGTTGCTTGCCATCTTGTTACATAAAAAAGTAAAATAATAATTTCGTCGTCTTCAGGACACCAACAGCATCAAAGCAAACCTTTATTTCGTTACTCAATAACTACAAAGCATAAGTTTCAAAATGATCGCAATTAGGGCGGGTAGATGTTCTTCATCCGCGCCGGCGGCAGCCGACAAATTGTAGCAGAACTTTTTTCAAAGATGTCTTGCATTGCATTTTAAGTGCCGAGTCTCTACGTGCATGAGCGAGCTATAACAAATGTTGGTTCGTTAGCTCATACTTCGTTTGCTGAACTTTTGAGGGGCGGCTCTTTATCTCGGCTCGAACAATACTCCTTTCTAAATAATAACGTGGATACGACTTCTTTATTAATTAATAGTTTCAACCAATTTTATGTGTAAGCGTCGCCGATGAAGTCATGTGAATCCATCTTCATTTAAATAGATCAAACCATGCGTGAGTTTAATGCAATATTTTATTCTAAGAAATGGTATTTCCCGTCAGTGTGACACACAAGCTGTGAAAAGAACGCCTTTTTGCTAAGCAGCAAAACAGGTGATATACAGTTTTTATCGCTTTGTTTGTTTTGTAATTTAAACCATATGCTAACGATGCGGGTAAAACGAATGAAATTGTGCATTTATATATAGGTATTATCCATTCTATCCTTTTGTACAACTTGGCAATGGTACAATATAATAAATTACGGAGGCAGGCTAACGAAGAGCTTTTATATCGACGTGATTCTTTCTCCGCTCTATCCGCATCCCTCCATGTTTCGAATTAGTATGTGAGTGTCTTATTTCTTAGAATATCTATTATTTAGGTTCGCTAAACTTTCGTGGCTGATGATGAAATATTAAAAGGTGTTTAAAAAGATTTACGAGTAATACAAAGGTATAATAAACTTTAAATTATTTAATATTACGACAATATTAAATAAAAAAATTAATATTGGCAAAATATTTAAAAATAATTAAAATATTATATTATTGCATATTGAATTGCTTTACATGTTCCCTATTACATATAAATAAACATACTCTTTTAGATGTTTATAACAAAATTGTGGACGAAAAACGTTAATAATGATCTTAAATTATCAATTATCATTTAAAAAATTCCACAAATCTAAAGTTGCAATTCAAATTCGACATTGAGGTAAGCAATATCTAATTAACACCTCATTAGTATGTATACATTGATGTCGAATCCCGACCTTAGATAATTCAACTAATAAATTATCTAAAACTGATTTTAATTTAAATTCCATTCTATCCAAAAATAGAATTCAACATCATTAAAATCCTGGAAACATAAACATAAATATCCGAAGGCAAAACATTTAAAGCTAAAGAGTCTCAGGAGTGGCATTCGGGAAATCGTGAAAATATACAAACGGAAAAAAATCCGAGCAGCGATAATCGATTCCCAACGGGCCAAGAAAACCGCTCGTGAGTAATTAACATGCAAATGAAATTACACTCATTGTTACGAAATTTGTGCAGCACTCGCTTTTGTTCATTTTCTCCTGTCTTTATCACACCCGGGTGGGGTCAGCACAATGTGTGAATTATGTCGTTAACGGTATTGGCTAGGACTTTTACAAACGGCCGCTTGCCTGAGGTACTGGCTAGCCCACGTGTTCTGCGTTCGATGAAGCTCTAAAAGTTTACGGACAGAAAGTGCTAACTTCGGATACAAAGTAAAAATAAACACTTGCTTGGAAATCATCATCCTCATCATCTTCTTTTCAATCCGTATTAGTCCACTGCTGGAAATAGGCCTCAGAATATAGGGTATCATATGAACACCCAGATCCGGCACAAATTATTTTTTTCCGTGGGTCAGAAAAATATTTGTCCCACGTGTTCCCGTCACAATTACATAATGTGAACAAAGAGGCTCATAGGCTCATATTTGCGCTTCTTACTTTAGCTGACACCGATGCCATCCCTGCCCCTACTGAAGGACTCCTCAGAGGCAGCCAAAGTGTAGTGGTAGTAGTTTATAAAATTGATCAATGTTATTAAAGAATTAATTAAAAAATATATAAGGAAGTTTTTCTGATTGCTACTATTACAATAATTGGTCAACAGAATAATCATATCACATCGTCATAGCACCTCAATTTGTTCGAATGAGCTCGTTTCAAAGACAAAAAGCATTGTAGCAACAACTTTGCAAAATGTTCTTTTTTATGTACGACGATGGCAAGCAAGATAGTGAATGAAACTAATTTTACGGATTTATCGCGATCGATTAACGCGATAAATCCGTAAAATTAGTTTCATTTATAATGTGTAATCGCGTTAATACAAGAAATTATTAAGCGAGATAGTGGTTCACCGGTTAAGTGGTATCCCGCCAATTGGTCTGTAATTAGTTTTCTTATATAAAAAAATACTTGAGTTGACGACAATGATTATCAGATGGGGACGTTTTTTGAACTGGTTTATGGTTGATGTTTTGATCTAGTTCAAATTCCCTTTGGTACATAATTGTTATTTTCAGGGTGACATGAAGTTAATAATTATGTTCCTTGAGTCCACCAACACTAATTTAAAGATCTAATCCACTGTCCACGCAATTCTGGACCTTAGCCAGGCCGCGTTGAACAAACTTAATGGGTTTAATTAAGCCTTAGTTTCTGACACAGCATCCTTTTCATTAAAATCTCGGTTAAGAAGTTAACTAGTTTCAAATATTGGTCCAACTTTATACCTAAATACGGTGTTTCGTGCTCAACGCAACTGAATTAATAAAATGTTAATCGTGACTTCGCCCGTTTAAATATTGTCCTTTGTCCCATAATTTCAGTTGAGCGATAATTATTTACTGCCGATAAACATAATTTTACACTAATAACGGTCTTGCTATCGAATTAATTATCATTGCCGTTTGTTGGTTATATTTAAACTTCTTAAAACTGTAGAGAGGAAATTAACATTAACACGAAAGTATTTTTAATAATTTATTTTATCATCTTATAATATTATTTCTTTGTATCTTTACCCAAAGCTATGTCGTTGTATTAAAATTCAAGGAATTAAACAGATATGCCACGTTTCTCCAAGGTTATTGATCTCCCCCATAACTAGACAAGTGTAATCTTTCGCCTCAGATAGGTTTCTTGTCTAGGCCACCGCCAAACACTTGTCAATAATTTATTTCTTCATATTTAATTTTGTAATGCCGGGACTTTGATAATTGATGCTACTTATCTTTTATTTTAACGCCCTCGGCTACTGATCCACTATTAGTTCATGCCCAATACAGTTAACCGTGATAAGAACGATTACGGTGTAGACTAAAGTAATCACAGAAGGTATTGTGACAACTTAACAATGCTTCCGAGGCGGTATTTTAGCCGAACAAAGGAAAGGACAGGAAAGTAAACAAACTGCATTAGTGTTCCGAAGGGAAATTCCGTGGTCCCTTATCAGAGCTGATGGCTACCACGATGTGGTTTTAATGGGCGTGCCGTCATAATCTGGATATGCTCATTTGGGGACACGTATCAATATTGTTCTTGAAAATATTGGATTTACAAACTTAATATATAGGCTTCCATATCTATTTAAAATTTTTATAATTTTAGATTAGGTTGATATCTGTAAATTTACATGTGTTCCGAATAAACCAAAGGCTCTCGATATCTCCTGACAAAACCTTACAATGTCTTGTTTCATTTGTTTTTGTAGGTAGAAGCAATGAGTACTGAAAAGCGGGTTCGCGTTCGAGTCAAGCTGTACGACGACAAAACCGACATTTACAGCCA